GTGTGTGTGTGTGTGTGTGTGTGTGTGAGAGAGAGAGAGAGAGAGAGAGAGAGAGAGAGAGAGAGAGAGAGAGAGAGAGAGAGAATACAAGGTACGTACCTTGTATTCAAGGGTACCTTTTATTCAAAAAATTTACAACGATTTCTTATAACCCATTTTTTGAAGTTAACTTGAATACTTGGTATATACCTTGTTTTCGGGTTAAGATGGTAGCACGCGTGGGTTGGCTTCAGACGTATTTAGCAATTGCTTCTGTTGTGAACCCTACCTTCAAAGGGATGAAGATCTCTACTATTTGCAGCCTCTGCAGGTGGCCTTGGGGAAACAACAAACACATGTGCGTGATGTGTCCTGCTTAGATTGTGAGAATGGTGGGTCAGACAATGGAAAAGTATCACACGTGATGCTTTCTTGTGCTTTGATAATTGAATTTTATCAGTCATTCATCGAGAGGAAAGCAAATCTGAACAAGATTGGGTTTATGTGGTGAAATCTATCATAGCCATTACGATGAAGATTATTTGGGACGACCGCAACAATTGGTTATTAAGGTATTTGGGCAAATTCGACGCTCACGTCAAGTCATTAGTGGCTCAACAAACCAACCTTAATGTGCAAAGTGATTGCATTCGTCATAAGGTTCCATGGTCACCTAAGGCTAGGACATGGTTCTGGGATACGTGGGGGAGACGATCCAGATCGGTTAACTAGACTCAGTCGGTAGGCTGCAGTTTTTCCAGTGGTTGCTGTCCCTTTTGGGGCATGGGGAGAGCTTCAGCTGACCCCCAAAGTCTATTTTAACAAATCTGCAGGGTTGCGGTTTGGATTGGTTTCCTATTTAGGAGCCCGGTTTTACCCCTTTTTTCCATTTTGGGGAGCTGGGTATTGGCCCCAGTTCTTTCTCGGGTGTATTGTGGGGTTTCCTGGCCCTGGCCCCTGTTATTTATTTATTTTTTTCCCTAGAAATGGGCTGCCTTGAGATATCATCACTGAAGCTGACCAGCCCCCCATGTAATTCGTAATCATGTTATTCTGGGCATCTGATTATTTGGATTCGAACGTGCGTCTGTTCCTTCTATCTTGAGGAATAAAAGAGTTTGTATGGTTTTCTAAAAAACAAGAGAGATAATTCGCAAAATACCCCAATAAGTTGAGAAATGTTCCAAAATACCCCTCTGACAAAAAATATCTTTCGAAATGTCCCTAACATCGGTTGGACCCCCATCCCTGCAATATACCCCTACCGGGTACCGTCCAACTTTGCAAAATGCCCCCGTACTTGCCATTTTTTCCTAGGCGTTATTGCAAAAGGCCACGGCCCAAACGGGGAAGAGGTCCAGATTGCGAAGATGTACACCTCCCTGACAGAAACACAACACAAAGATTTCGGCCCCAAAAGAGCATTCCTCTCTACCCACATCTTTCAGAGGCATTTTGGCATATATCTTAACTTATGGGGGTATTTTGAAAATTATCCCAAAAAAAGATCAATGGCAAACTGGGATCGTGCTGAGGCTACCCGTAGTGACCCGTGGCTCCCCGGCCCGAGACCTAGCCGGGCCGGGCAAACGCGTCCGCGCAGTCGGGACCGGGGGAAGGCCGGCAACCAGGGCAAGATTCCAGGCGGCAGTTTCCGCGGGCCTCCGGTGGGAGTTGGCGCCGACCTCGGGGTTGCCCTCCTGCGCCCTTGAGGCAACAGGCCTTCCCCCGGTTTCGCAAAAGAGAACGGCCCCTTTCTCGGCCCCATCTACGGGGCAAGGTCCCACTTGCACGGGTTAAGAGATTATGGCCGTCGATCCTTGCTATCTACGGTCAATATCGTTTAATTCGTGTAAGTGGGTCGCAGCCCCGGGAAGCGCCCACGGTACGACCGGTGACGTCATCAAATCAGAGGGTCGAAAAGGTAATTCTGTGCCGTAAGGGAAGGGTGACGTAGGCTCGGAGGCAATTGGTCCCGTTCGCACGTGTGCCTTCTGGCTGCACAAGGTCGTGTCGCCAGGGTATGCTGCGGAGGCGGGGAGGGTAGAGAGAGAGAGAGAGAGAGAGAGAGAAGGGCGGTTGTCTTGAGAAGCAGGAAGGAGTAAGGAGAGGTTGGCGGACCTCGACCGCTGCGGCTGGCGGGTTCCGTCATATTGGATTTGCCCCGCGACTTTGTGCTGGTACGTTCTCCCTCCGCCCTTCTCCCTCTCTCTCTCGTTGAGGACTCTTTCCCCGGAGGGGGAACTGCACCAATCAATGGCGATGGCTATGTCTCGTCGGCGCAACAGCGACTGGATAGGGCTGCTGGTGAGTCTGTCGCATCGTCTTTGGTGGTGGCTTGCCATCGTGTCCCTTCTCTCTCTGTTGGGCCAAGAGGTGTTCCGAAGTGCTGCTGGCTATGGTGCAGGTTTGAAGGCCGATGCTGCTGAGCTGGAAGGCTTTGGCGACGAGACGGAGGAGGAAGGGGAGGAAGATGTCCCCGACATCTTGTCGAGGCCAGCGCCCGGTGCAAAGCCTGGGCCTCAGACCGATCGAGGACCGCCCGCCGCCCCTTACGATATCCCTGCCACCGAGCAGGAGGAAGCCGACGGTAAGAAGATGAAGAAGGGTGGTGATGGGGGAGAAGAAAGGAGGAGAGAGCCGAGTTCGGCCGAGGGTGGCAGGTCAGCAGCAGCCGCGATGGAAACGGCGCAAGGAGGGGGAAAGAGAGCGCAGCAGTTATGGGATGAGGAGGAGTTCGAAGGCCTGCCGGATGCGATGGGGGGGTCGGCCTGGGCGGAAGGGGGCGGCGCAGGGGGAGAGGAGGGGAGAAGATCGGTGGTGATGGGAGGTGGGGGAGCAATTCCGTCGTCGGAGGCGCAGAATCAAAGTGGGGCGAGGCGAAGAGGCGCCAAAGAAGGCGCAGGAAAAGGCGGCGCCACGGGCAGGGGCGGCGCGTCTTGGCGGAACAAGACCCATCAAGGAGGGGGTTTGTCTAACTACGTGATGGAGATCGGGGTTGTCATCTTCTTAATTGCGTATGTGATTAATTTTTTCTTTGGTCGGAAGGCGAACGAGAGGATCGCGGTAGCTTGGGCGGAGCAATTCGCAGGGAGAGGGAGTATTATCGAGAAGAACTTCAGCTTGATAGGTGTTGGAAGCTCCCTGCCGGCACTATCGGGGGAGAATGGAGGCGTTGTGGGAGAGGTGGGTGAAGGAGGAGGTGGAGTAGGAGGAGGAGGAGGTAATGGGGGCGGTGAAGATGAGGCACTGATGCTAAAGGAGGGACAGAACGTGTTCAAGTTCTATGCGAGTGGGAGGCGTTTCTGCGAGGGTTTGCTAGCGACGCTGGACCTACGCGGGCGCCACGATCTCTTGCTCCTTTTGTGGTACTTCTTCTCTCCGCGCAAGGACCTTATCACCATTGAAGTTGACATGAACGATGAAGACATGGACCACGTCGTCTTCGCCATCGCTAGGAGGAAGAGCGCCAAATCCATGCACAAGGAAAACAAGGACTTGCAGCAGTATGCGACTATGTTGGACTTGTCCATGAAGAAGAACTGGCCGAGTGATGAGTTCTCAGTTATTGCCGAGTCTCGAGAGCTGGCTCTTGACCTCTTGCCAGATGCATTGGTAGACCAGGTGCGTTTACGTTCAATTCGCAATCCAACTCTCTCTGTGTTTCTCTCTGCATGTCCCCCAACTTTTTTTTTTTTTTTTTTTTTAAATAATGTCCCCCACCTTTCTCTCCGGTCCGTAGCTTGATCTCGGTGTCTATGCACTTCTTCTGGCAACTTCACGCCCCGGACTGAGAATGGAGTGAAACCCGAGAGTCGAGAGAGAGAGAGAGAGAGAGAGAGAGAGAGAGAGAGAGAGAGAGAGAGAGAGAGAGAGAGAGAGAGAGAGAGAGAGAGAGAGAGANGAGAGAGAGAGAGAGAGAGAGAGAGAGAGAGAGAGAGAGAGAGAGAGAGAGAGAGAGAGAGAGAGAGAGAGAGAGAGAGAATGGAGGGGTGGTCCCGGTATATCGGTATTACAAGGATGCGCATCCTTCCGGAGATGATTGATGGCATTCTGATAGTGCTTGGTATGTGTAAGTAGAGATGGGATCGGGACAGTGAAAGAGCCTGATCAGCAACAAGGCGTTCGCTCTTAACGGCCCGCAGAACGGCACAGTTTCCTTTTCTCTGTCTGTCTCTCTGTCTGTCTCTCTCTGTCTCTCTCTCTCTCTCTCTCTGTGTCTCCCTCTCTCTCCCTCTTTCTTTCTCTCTCTCTCATGTTGTCATCTTCTTTGCCGTCCGCAAGCTCTCTGCGCCTCTCTTGCGCGCCGTCTCTTTCTCTGTGCACCTTATGCTCCTGCTAACGATGTCTGCTTTCTCCCTAACGTTTCAGGTTTTCTAGTGCCTCCGCCCGCACTCTCGCTTTCTAGTGGCTCCGCCCTCGTTCTCGCTTTCTAGTGCCTCCGCCCTCGTTCTCGCTTTTATTTCGCGCTCCACTTTTTCATTTCTCTCTCCTCACCGCTTCTCTCTCTCTCTTTTCTTCGAGGTTTCGTGTTCTCTTCTTTCCTTGTTTCGTACTTTCTTCTTTCTCTCTCTCTCTCTCCCGTGCTCTCTCTCGTGCTCTCTCTCTGTCTCTCTCTGTCGTCGTAGTTTGCGAGTACCGTTGCCGAGGGACATGGCTCTCCAGATCGTGCTTTTGTAAAAGTGCTTTGCTTTTTGTCCCCCGGCTTCTCTCCGTCTTACTACAGCTGTCTGCTCCTCTCTCCTTCCATCCCTCGGTGCCCTCCTCTGTCCCTCCTCCCGTCTTTCATTCTTATGTCAGTTCCCTTTTCTTCAGAGTGACAGCAGAAAGCGGTGTGAATTTGCCTCCGAAAATTTTGTGTGGAAACTCGATGATGAGTCCGGAAACACAGTTCAGTATTGTTTCTATTCCTTCTCTCTCTCTCCCCATCTCTCTCTCTCCATCTCTCTCTCTCTCTCCATCTCTCTCTCTCTCCATCTCTCTCTATCTCCATCTCTCCCTCTCTCTATCTGCATCTCTCTCTCTCCATATCTCTCTCTATCTCCATCTCTCTCTCTCCAGGCAGAACAAGGTTTGTGTTTCCTCTCTCTCTCTCTCTCCCCCGTTCCCCTCTGGGTAAATACTATCACCATCTCTCTCTCTCTCCATCTCTCTCTCTCCATCTCTCTCTCTATCTCCATCTCTCTCTCTATCTCCATCTCTCTCTCTCTCTATCTCCATCTCTCTCTCTTTATCTCCATCTCTCTCTCTCTCCAGGCCGAACAAGGTTTGTGTTTCCTTTCTCTCTCTCTCTCTCCCCCGTCCCCCTCTGGGTAAATACTATCAGGTGCCGTCTCTGCACGCGTGCCTGCCGACCGCATGCACTGTCTTATCAGCTTGGTAGGTTTTCGCATCAGACCCTACCCGGTCGTTTTAATTTCCTCCCTTGCTCGGCCATCGACCCACTCAAGCTTTGTATATAATTATATATGTGATGATATATGTCCGTCGATATCTCGCGGGCCTGTGTACACACCGCACAGGTCGCGCTTGGAGTCTTCCGTAGTGCGGGGTTTCGGTTCTCTGTTCCTCTGCTCATCCCTGTTTGACAAACCACTGCTCTTTGTCGGCGATTGAATTGAACTGAAGGGCATTTCAGCTACCGTCTTCACCCGAACACAACCAACGCCCGGTACATTATCGCTGTACCTAGACTGAAACTTGCACCAAATAAGGCCATAATGACCGGGCGTTCTATTCGGGTGAAGACGGTAAGTTGTCCCGTTCATCTGATGGCAGGCAGCATCTGGATTCGAACTGGGCTCTGTATTCCAACAATGACCGGGCGTTCTATTCGAATGTATCGATTGAGCTACTACCAGTAGACCCGTTGGTGCCATCGCTCTTTTTTGTTTTAACCCCGACTGTCCTGTAAATAGACTTCTCTTTGTCGGTCATTCCGCCGGAGGGCATTCATCGGCAATATACGCTTTCGTGTCCTTTTTTTTTTTTTTTTTTTTAAGGCCGTGATTATGACTTACCAGTAATTAGGTTATATCTAATGTCCAGCCAGCGATGCTGAACGAGGGAGAGGTACTCTCACTCTTTGTCGGTCATTCCGCTGGAGTTCACTCATATGCAATTTACGCTTTAGTGTCCGACTGTCTTGTAAATATAACTTACTGGACAGTCGGACATTTTTTAAAAATTAAATATAACGGACTGTCGTGCAATTAGGTTATATCGAATGACCAGCGATGCTGAACGAGGGAGAGGTACCCTCACTCTCATCTGGGTTGTGTCCTGGAAGAGAGCGGGAAAAGAAAAAAAGGAGCAATTGTTGGCCATGAAGAGGGGGGGTGGCGGGGGGAGGTCTCACTAACAAAGAAGGTTGGATTAACCGCCCGAATGTAGACGGGTTTCAAGCAGAGATGAATAAAGGCATATCAATAGCCATTTCTGCACCTAGCCACCGACGCGTCCAGATGAAGGCGGAAAATCCAACCGATTTAGTAGTGGGACCTCGCCACGTTTCCTTTGGTTTCGTATGACCCACCTCTCCCCTGGCGGCTGCTTGCCTGTCTCGTTCTCTCTCTCTTTTTATCTGTCTCGCTCTCTCTCTCTTTTTGTCTGTCTCGTTCTCTCTCTCTTTTTGTCTGTCTCGTTGCGTGCGGCGTAGTTATTTCTGTGTTCCCGAATTGTGAATTATATGTATAATAATCTCAGAGCTATGAACGAAGAACGCCTTTGCTCTCCCTCTTTTTCTTTCACGAACGAACGAACGAAAAAGAGAGAGAGAGAGAGAGAGAGAGAGAGAGAGAGAGAGAGAGAGAGAGAGAGAGAGAGAGGCAGTGCACCCGTACTTTTTTTCTTTCGTTCTTTTTTTTTTTCCCGTTTATTTGCATTTTTTTTTCCCCCTTTGGTTTTGGCCTTTTTGTGAGAGAAATTTTCTACTGTCTTACCCTTTTTCTGGGTTCGAGGTTTCTCACGTTGGTCTGGTCGGGCGGCAATTGCCTACTGAGAAGGGATCGGGACAGGAAACTACCCTTTCAGCGTTTTAGAAGCGCCTTTGCACCCGACTGAGAAGGGATCGGGACAGGAAACTACCATCTTCAACCGAATAGGAGGCCCGGTCATCATACCTGTATATGGTGCAATTACCATTCTAGATACAGCGATAATGACCGGACGTTCTGTTCAGGTGAAGACGGTAGGCAAAAAAGTGCACAGGTAGAAACGACATGCCGTGCCTGAAATTCTCTATGGGTGGGTGGGTGGGTGGGTGTGTGTGTAAGTCGCCGGAGATGCGAGTCGGGGGAGGCGTACTCATTGGGAGGACTACTGATGCAGTCGTTAATAACGACTGTGCGTTGTGTTTGGGGGGAAACGGTAAGGCGCGTTTTAAAAAGAAGCTGATGGGGAGGACTCTACTGAGGCAGAGTCATTCATAACGAGGGTAAGGCGCGTGATAAAAGAAGAAGAAGAGTGAGTGAGAGTGCCCTCAGGTACACTCACGAACTGTTGACGTATAGAACCAAGTTCGAGTCAGATACAATCACATGACCGGAGCGAAATAAAGTAATTCTGAATTACCTGGGGCCGTTCAGTATCATTGATGATATCTGAAGGCCGTCGACCCTTCTCCCCACCAAAAAAAATAAAAAATAAAAATAAAAATAAAAATAAATAAATAAATGAAAACTAAAAAAATCCTTGGATCTGTTTCCTACCAAGGTTGCGACGAAAACTCGCCTTAGAGGGGGGAAAGGTCGACGGCCAATGGAATGGAATGTACGGTCATTAAGTCTGCTGTACCTAGACTGAAAGTTCCACCAAATGCACCTACAATGACCGTACGTTCTATCGTCATTAAGTTCTGTATCTAGACTGGAAGTTCCACCAAATGCACCTGTAATGACCGTACGTTCTATCGTCTTTTGCACATCCGTTCTGCTGCCATCGATGTTGCCTACCGTCTTCTCCCCAATGGAATGTACGGTCATTAAGTCTGTATCTAGACTGAAAGTTCCACCAAATGCACCTACAATGACCGTACGGTCTATCCGGAGGAAGACGGAGATGAGATGGGGGGTAATTTAGGAGTGTGGCTGGACAAACCAGAGGCCAGCCAGAGGTCATTATGCGTCTAAATGATTAGTGCATGTATTTGCTCGTCTGAACTTTTTTGGGGCGGTTGGGGTTTCATTTTGCCAGATGCCAGCCAGAGAGGTTAGTGGTACCCAAATAGAGTGTGGACAAGGTGAAGAGGGGTAATAGTAGAAGTATGGCTAGGGATGCCGGGAGGGGAGGAGGAGGAGGAGGAGAAAGAGGAAGGTGGCGAGAAAAGAGGAGAAGAAAGAGGGAACGAGGAACAGAAAGAGAGGTGCAATAAGAGGAGTAAAGAAGGAGAATTAGGAGAGGGGGAAGGGCAGGAGGAGGTGGAAGGTTGAGGCAGAATAGGATCTTATGAATGGGAGTATGTATGAAGGGTTGGTCGTGAGTTAAAACGATAATAATGAGGGCCCATGGAGTGTTCCATTTTCAACCCATGCTTCTGAACCCTTTTTTTTTTTTTTTTTTTTTTTTTTTTTAAACCTTTTTTTGCTTCGATCTTAGATCTTCGTTAGTGTTGGTCGTTGGTCATC